ATCAGCTCCACCACCAACTACTCCTCAATTCCTACAAACTGAAATGGTTGGAGATACTGGAGTGTTGAGGTAGATTGTTCATCGGAATGCACAAAAGCAAAAGCAAACAAACCCCTTGGCGTGAGAAGATGGATACATCACATAAAAGGGAAAGATGGGGGAGATGAGTAAGAAGATGACAGTGTACTGTGATGCTGGTATGGATGAAGGTGGAAGAGGAGGGCGTGGTACGACAACATGAGTGCACACTTTTGGGTCAGTTATATAACGTGTTTTACATATAAAGTTAGTTTCAAGGGAAAACCGTAAAAAAGGAAAAATCAAAGAACACCTTAATAGTCGTTGATTAACTCTAATCCAACGATTATAAAAAATAGTAATTTAACAATTTATCAAATACAAAATGGTACATTTCATTAATGAATTCATTACCATTTATTAGAAATCCCTTAAATAATACCACAATTTTTTGGAAAACTCCATTAATACTCTAAAAAATCTACTAATAATATTTTACATTCTACAAAAAGGTATATTTCAAGTAATTCATCGTCTTCAAATTATTGCGTTTCATGCACATGTTAATGAATCACTGTATTCATCGTCTTTCGATTTCTACGTTGCATGCACATGTGAATGAATCACCGTATTCATCGTCTTTCGACTTTTGGAATGCATGCATGTGTGAATAAGTTTTTATATTCACCATCCTTCATTTTCTGTGCTATATGCACATGTGAATGAATTACCGTGTTTATCGTCTTTCAATTTCTAAGTTGCATGTACATTTGAATGAATCACCATATTCAATTGTCTTTCGATTTTAGGGCTTTCATGAACATGCGAATGATGGTATCATCATAGTCATGTATGCATAAAACCTAGAAAACAAAAGTAAAATAGATGAATGCTTGAATCTTGTTACCTATTCACGAGGACATAATCTTCAAGGGCCACCAGGGTCTTTGACTACCATTATGAAGAAACTAAAGAGGATTTAGAATTACATAGAAGCATAAATGGTTCTATACTTTAGTTATCTTTCTTCGTTTAGATACTCCTTAATCTTCACCGACATTGAAGATTTGGTAAAAGAAACAATACACGCCATGGAGGTTGCAGATAAAAGAAATGGAAAAGAGAAGATAAACGACAACCGGAAAGAATTGCAAAGGAGAAGAGAAAATAATCGATATCCATGAAGGTTGCCAGAAAAGAAATCGAGAGAGAAAATAGGGGGACGTGAGAAAAAAAAAGGGGAGAAATGTAAATAAAAAGGAAAAAGTAATAATGTTTTTTTTCAATTATGCCCTCTAATCCAATTAAAACTCTTACTTAAATAACCTTACATTCTCTTTTTATTTACAAATATATCATTCTAATGTGAACTTTTGATTTTTTTGGTTTGTGTTCCTTATAATTTAATTTTTTGGGTTTTCCCTTGAATCTCTCCCTATCTCTCGTTCTCTCTCTCTCTCTCTCTCTCTCTCTCTATATATATATATATATGCCACAGCAAATGCAAACCATCCAAAAGTTAGAAACCGTACAAACAAAGGTATTTTTGTCATTTTAACAAATTTATATTTTAAGAATAATTATCTTCCTTAAAACATCTCATATGATACCAAATTAACTAGATTTATTTTAGGAATTATTAATTCCTTGAAAATCTCATCTGATTGTTACATATAACCGATTTCATCACATTTTTTCGAACTGTTATGTTTCTCCTATGAAATCCAATCCAATTATATTTTCTCATATCAAACAATAACAATTTTTACTACATAGTTTCTTACTGGGTTTTTTTTCCCGTTATTAAACAACACATTAACTTTTTAGTTTGTGACTTTTTTGTTTTTCATATGAAACCAAACCCATTATTGTTTCTCATATGAAACAATTACAGTTTTCTTACCAAATTTTTTACTGGTGATTTCTAATTTATGAAACAACACATTAATTTTTTTTAAAAATAACTAATTTAACAAAAATAATGTACATACTAAAAAATGTAAATTAATGTTTCAACTTACACGTACTATTTCATATATGAAACATCTAGTAACTCTAAAACCATATAATCAAAACTTATATCCAACGTAATTGGTTGATTTGCATGTTGATCTTCTTGCATGAAAGTGGTTATGATGGTCAATGACGACCGAGGGGTGAGGAAGATAACCAGCGATGGGGGTATGAGCAGATTTTAGAAGAGACAAATGATATCTTGTTCAACCATTCAACTTGTTCATCATAGTGTAAATCTTTGTATGATTCTTGAAGATGATACTATCAACATTTTCAGTGTAACCATAGTCGGAATTGTGGCTGGAAAATTGAGAAAGAAAAAGAAAAAGAAAAATGAAGAATAGGGGCCTAATCAAATGAAAATTTCGTAATTTATGATAGTTGTGAAATCCAATGTGAACAACTCATTTGAATTCATTTATGAAATTTCTTAAATAAGCTAAAATGAGTAATTTAGTAATTTTGTTTATTAACAACTCATCAAAATATTTAATAAATTTTTTAAAAGGAAATTTTTAATTAATTCTAATTACCTAAAATATTACTTACATCACCCAAACACACACACTCCCAAAAAAACCATGACGCCTCCCTCACTCATCAAAATATTGTATGTTTTTTTGTTATTTTTATTGCTTTACAAAAATAACAAAAAAACATACAATATTTTGATGAGTGAGGGAGGCGTCATTTACAAAAGGTGTGAAAGTGTGCATCTTGTAAGTTTTCTGTTATTTTTGTTGTTTTACAAAGGGTGTCACAATGTGCATCTTCTATGTTTTTCGTTATTTTTGTTACTTTACAAAGAGTGTACATCCTGTATGTTTTTCGTTATTTCGTTGTTTTACAAAGAGTATCACATTGTGCATCTTGTATGTTTTTTCATTATTTTTGTTTCTTTACAAAGCGTATCACAATGTGTATCTTGTATGTATTTTGGGTATCATTTGTGTGTTTTTTTAACAGTGTTGATGTTTTAAGGTATCACAGTGTACATCTTGTATTCAAATGACTCCACCCACCTATAGTTTTTTGTTGTTTTTCGTTGCTTTACTGAGGGTATTATAGTGTATAGTGTTTACATGGTGTTCGTTAGAATGTGGTTCACCGGAGAGAAGAGAGAGGATGAAGGAGAGTGGAGATATAAGATTTCTAAAATAACTAAAACGCTCTTTATTTAAAATTTCAACTCAACATTACCAAAATTATTAATCTTCTAATTTATTCTTTTGATTTGTGCTTGAAATCGGATCTCACGGTTATTACAAATTACCGAGTGCTCCCTTTAATATCCCCATATATATATATATATATATATATATATATATATATATATATATATATATATATATATATATATATATATATATATATTAGGTTCATACGAGAACATTAACTAACTAAGTGAATAAAAAAACGATCGAATCGCATGTGATTTTACACTAAAATCATGTGTAAAATCATATGTGATTAACGCGACTTTGGCCATAACCTAAGGTTGCAAGTCATATCGCCCTTACATCTTTACATTGACTGTTAGTGTAAAATCACATGAGATTTTACATGTGATTTGACCGTTTTCGTGTTTTTTTATTTAGTTATCATGCTCATTTGTAGGGGTGCTCAAAAACCCCACCAACCCGATCAACCCAACGCGAAATAACCCAACCCGAAGCAACCGGATGTCTAATCGAGTTGTAAAATTGTCAAACCGTAGGTATTAAATTGATATCGGGTTACTATTATTTGAACCAACCCAACCCGATATCCTTTTATTTATTGGATTTAATATGATTGTTGAATTTCTACTAATATATACATTAGACAATTACACTATCATGTATGCTTTTCATATACACATATTATCAATCTATTCATATCTTTATATAGCTCATTATATGTTCAGTAACTGTGAACATATATATGTAAATTGAGAAAATTAACTGAATATGATATACGTAAGAAATATGGGTAAAGTTGTATCAAATGGTTGATGATGAAAAAGAGATTATGAAGTAGAGAAATAACATATTCAAGATTAGAAGAATATTTTAATATATCAAAGTATCAACCCGACCAACCCGGGTTGGGTTGCACTTTGTTTTGGGTTGGGTTAAGATTTTTTCAAACCGCAAGCATTGGATTGGATTGTTCAAATGTCTTAAAACCGATCAACCCAACCGATGAGCATCCCTACTCATTTGAACCTCCTTATATTTATACACGTGTATATATATATATATATATATATATATATATTCACTTAACGGTCTTTTAACAGGCGTTAGAGGGAAGGAGCAAATTTAAACGTTTTTACAAACCATTATTCACCAACCTATAGTTCAGGGACAAACCATTACATTCCGCATACCACAAAGACCAAAATTGTAGTTTAATCATTTAATTATTAGAAACTACACTTTAAAGATTTATCCAAAAAAACTACATTTTAAACAACTTAACTATGTCTTCAATGCAACTAAAAAGATATATCATAACTTTGTGAAAGAAAATAGTATATTGTAACATTGTAAGCCAAAAATCATTTAAAAAAACTTGTTAGAAATGTCATGTTCTAAAAACTAAAATGAAATTTTATAAAATAAGTTCCTACATTTCATCTTGATATAATTTTCTTCTAGAAAAAACTAACTTCTACTTCTACCATCCTCTTGCACTTCTTGGATGAGGATCCACTTGGAATTCACCAAAAAATGAGTTTTCATAAGATTCATATAGAACAATATCAACACAATCCTTCATGGATATGCATTACTCATTGTGATTTCCAGCCATTTGAGAAGCCTAGATTTACAACCAAAACATACCTCGACTGTCAACCTTGGAGCTCTTCCTTAAGGTTGTTGGGCCACGGGGGATTTTTCTGGACTGTTATATTCAAGGCCCTATGAAATTATTTGAGGTGCACACAAGCTGGCCCAAATACCCACACTTAACAAAAAAGAAGCCCCAAAAACCATATATTTCGTCCATAGATGCAAAAAGTATGCTTCTCACAGTTCATCAAATGATCGAACAACCATGCATATCCGATATACATTTGATTGAATAGCCTATCCCATTTCATATAGGTATAACAGTCATACAATGACCGACTAACATCCGGCCATAAACCATGGTCTAATTGGCATCTACAATAGAAGCTTACCTTTTTGTTTTCTTCCCATTGAAAGCACATACCATCAACTTCAATTGTACATATGCCTCTTATTGTCCATTTCCACTGATGAAAAAGCAATAATTTTGACGACAATGTTCAAACGAGTCCAATGAATGAATTTATACCACGAAAAGGAGCCTTTCTTTCGGCACAAATCACACCTGCACTAGATGAAATTGCAAATTAGGAGACTACAATCGAACATCCGTGAGCATTCAGTTTTAATAACCATATGCGGTTTGTGAAAACAAAATATAAAGTATTTCTATAATCAATAAAACAATATGCAACTTCTTATTCACTTGATCATTAAACAATACAATATAAGCTTCTATTCTTGCATTTTCTTCCCTTCTTCATCCTCAACCAAGTAAATAGGACTCGGTATCACATCTTTAGATTGTGGAATGCTTTTAGAATTAATTTCAGATCATTGATGTTGCCTCTTTACAATGGTGAATGTTCTTAGGACATACGATTATTAGCTAGAAAACTTGCCAACCCCAAAGAAAAAAGATACGTCACTCTAGATGCTCAGATTGTAATCCCCAAACGCTCAAAGTAATGGACTAGCCCAGTAACTTCTAAATCAACTTTAAACCATGATCGATGTTATTGGTAGCCCAAAACTAGGGACAGATCTTATTTTCTACCTATGTCTGCGACAGATTATCACAACCCCCATTCCATCTAAATGAACTCACAAATCCCAGTTTCCACCAATTTGGGAAGAGTTGTCTCAAACTCCCCCACTTAAATTCCTAACGTCCTTGTCAGGCCTACCCAAGAGTTGTTCACGGGCAATGTGAGATTCATCTAAGATATTACGAACACCTTCCCCCTCAAGGGTTCATCGCCCTCAAAAAGATTTGCCCCACAATCTCGATTTGTACAAAGATCGGCTATGATACTATTTTATAATGCTCCAAAGCGTAAAGCAATAAACTAGCCCAATAACTTCTAAACGAACTTCCACCATAGTTTTAAGTTGATTTGGACGTTATTAGGTCAACTTGCTACTTTGGGTATTACAAAATGGTATTAGAGCTTATTCTTGTACAGTCAGGATGGTGGGCAAAACCTCATCAAGGCTGATGAGTCCCTAAGGGGTTGTTGTAACATCTTAGGTGAATTTCACATCGTTGATGAACAAAAAGGATGCTAGGTAGGTCTGAATAGGACGTCAGAAATTTAAATGGGGGAGTTTGTGACAACTCATCCCATATTGATGGAAAGTAAAATTTGTGAGCTCATTTAAGTGGGGAGGGAGTTGTGATAACCGTTCATATGGACAAATTAAGACTTATAAACTCTAAGTTGTGGGTATAACTTCTAGTGTTTTTTAAGTTGATTTTTAATTATCGGCCTGATTTATCGGATTTGAGCTTCGGGGCATTAGATAATAGTATCATAGCTTTGCAACATCCTTAAGCCCAAAGCAATAGGGAAAGCCTCATAGAGCATGATGAGTACATGAGGAATTGTTTGTAACATCTTATACAAATCCCACATCGCCAATGAACAACGAGGATGTTGGTAGGACTCACGAGGACGTTGGGAATTTAAGTGCGGGAGTTTGTGACAACTTATCCCATATTGATGGAAAGTAAGATTAGTGAGCTTATCTCATTTAAGTGGGTGGGGGTTGTGATAACCCATCCCACTTGGATAGAAAGTAAGATTTATGAGCTTTTTATAAACCTTAATTTGTGGACTATCAATAACTTTCACAATGGTTTTAAGTTAATTTAAAAGGCATCGGGTTAGTCGATTGCTTTTGTCTTTTTGGAGCATTGCCTAGAGTATGGTACAACAGAGAGAATAGAGTGGAACTTGTTGGCATGAGGGGTTAAATACTTGAATCAAATCCTAACATTGCAGGATCACATGATTTGAGAGAATAATTTGTTACCTTGGATATGTGTAATACCTAGGACAGACCTGAAGAATCTTCCACTAGCTGTTGCATGTATGTATTTGCCTGATGATGAGAGGAATAACATAAAAAAAAGTACCTCCTTGAGAATTTTAAGTTCATGGCAACAACCTCTTTGTGAAGCCTATTTCTTCAAATTCAAAAAGAAAATTCAGACCTCATTGTACAAACTACAACTATAGATTCAAATACTCACACCAGTGTTATCCTTGATTAAACGAATTTTGCATCGTGGTTGCAATTGATGCAAATGAGCATTGGAGCAGGAAACGGAGTCAGAAATCTTACGGGAAAAACAGTATAATCAGCAAGCAATAATCCCGGCCATGCAACATGGATTAAAGAAAACTACAGAGTTAACAGTTGGCTTATTGATTCCACGATCCCTCATCTGATGCAGGGGTTTCTCTGCGAGGATGTGGTTAAAACATTCTATGATGATCGGATGAGAACACCTGTTTCAACCGAATCCAAAATCTTCCACCACCACGATAATGGCTGATCTTTGTCTACATACTAAATGGACTAGTTACAGTTTTTAAGGAAATCGATAATTAGACTAATGAATGTGAAAGAGGGATTAGTCAAAGGGGTTGTATATCTGCATCCCATGATCGCAAGTATGCAAGTCCACATACTCCTAAGTGGGTTTGACCTAGGATCCGATCAAGTTCGTGGCCAAATTTTACAATGGATCTAAAGATGAATTTGGAAAAGTACCTGTGGAAGCAAAAGTCATACAAATCATGGGAGATTCTCAACCACTTCCTGAAAACTCAGCCATGGTGGTTCACCAAATTGGAAGGACCAATTATGGATTTAAGGGACAAAATAACCCACAATGGGTAAAACCAACAACTTTTTAGCCTAATAGGCGAATATAAAAAAGATGCCATGAGATTATTGGTATTAGCCATTAGTCTTGGTAGCATTTCCTCGAATAAGCTCAAAGAAACCATTACCAGAAAAGCAGCAGTGGCCATGCAAGGGAGATCATCGAATAACCCACAAAGAAAAATCACAATTGCAAATGTCGTTGAAACCAGGTTTTTTTGGTGATGTGGATGTTTTTCTTTCTGCCAATAGTACTTGGATTACTAACATCCAACATATGACTCTTAACCATGACAACATATAAACCATTCACCTATTCTCCTTGCGTTTTTCTTGGTTACCCTCCAAATCATCGCGGGTACCTATGTCTAGATATGTCAAGCAAAAAGATCATCACCTCCCGTCATGTCCTCTTTGACGAAGACATCTTTCCCTTTCGTTCCACTACACCCACTCCGTCTTACGACTTCCTTCACAAGCACATCGACGACGATCAACACCCATACATTCGTCATTCCCCTCATCTTACAGCCCCCTCACCCACGGTTCCCTCTACCCCTACGCAACCCCACCCGACCCCTACCCCCTCCCGTTTTGGTCAAACCTACTCCCGGTTACGCCACACGCACACCGCCCCACCCRCTGCCTCTAGTCCACCAACACGGCCCGGTCCTTCGCCTCATCCACCACCTCCTGCACCAACCAACTCCTCATCCAATCCACCACCCCCACCTCCCCCTACTCGAACGATGCATACCCGTAGCATGACCGGTAATTCCAAACCCAAAACCCCGTTCTCCTTACACACACACTTCTTCTACCATTGAACCGCTCCCCAAAACTCTAACCGATGCCTTATCCAATCCTGTTTGGAACCAAGCAATGACGGAAGAGTTTTCTGCTCTTATTGATAATAAGACATGGGAACTTGTCCCTCGGCACTCTGACATGAACATAATTC